AACCGAAAAGTATGAAAAAATCCATTATTAGTGTAGTATATTATTATATCCCATGTAATTAGTATATTAGTATATCGCTATTAACCTACTTCGCGTTGAATTTTCATCGATGTTAAGCCTAACAAAAATTTTTTTAAATAATAATCGTCGCTATTGTAACGTTAAAAATTAGAAAATTAAGCCTCGTTTAAATACTGGCTCCCTTTCATGGTCGAATGAGTGTTGCCAGCTAAAACACGTAAAAATAATATTAAAGTAGCCAAGACAGCCAAATGTTGTAGCGCCACATCACTAGCGGACATTTGAAATTTGCCGACTAAGACGGTCGGTTAATCAGGGGTCGGATAATCGAGGCTCTACTGTACTGCTCATCTGGCGCTGTTGGTAGAGCCAAAACCGCAAAATCGATAATAGAATTATAGTGATATTGGACCTACTCTTTCCCCTCCCGACTGCGGTATTGTCGGCCCATATCCAATCTCTTTAGGTAGCTAAACAAGGGTAAACAAAGAGTCAAAAAAGGGAGAGCAAAAGTGGGAAAAACGGGAGAGAGGGACGAGAGCGGAAGGAGGAGAGTCAGAGTAGAGGTGGGAAGACGATAGAGTTAGTGAAGAGAAATGGTGAAGTTCGAAAATATTTAACTGTTTCAATTCGGTACGACGAACCGGCGAGAGGGAATCCATGAATGCAGGCTGGATTCTCTACAAGAATGTTGGAATTTAACTGAAAATTTCATTCAGAAATATTGAATAGAAACCAAGATATCAATCATGCACGTACAGTACACTCAGTAAATAATGAAAGTACTCCCGGCACTGGCGATGTACAACTCCTTAAGCATTGCAGGAAAGTTCGGCACGCAAATTTGGAAGATTGAAGCATCCATAGTAAAGTTTGAAAAAGTATTTTCAAATACAATAATAACTTACGCGATAGGTGGGACCGAGCGATAACCGCGTAAGTCGGGGTATAATTTCGCAATTTGTGTAAAATCCAAGTCGGATATATGTAAGCTAATAAATGTTCTCGTTAATCTTATCTCGTCTTTTGATTCGTTCACGGTTATAAGAAATCACCACATAGAGTCTTTCAAGTCTCCGTAAATATAACACGGAAATAAATAACACAAAATAAATTGTAGCTATGTGTCGATTCAACGCAACACGTCCGAACATGTAAGCTGAACAATAGTGTGGGGGAGTGAGTAACTAAGAGTTGCGTGGCGCTCAAACAAAAGACGAATCAACGAGATTTGAAAATCGCGTAACTCCGGGTTCGCGTAAGTCGAGGTATTACTGTAATCTAAACTAAATCGTGCGCATAAGCTTTACGTAATAATAATAACTGAAAGTGCTTCTACAGTTTTAAGCACTTCGAGAAGCACTGAAGCACTGTAGAAGCACTGAAGCACTGTAGAAGCACTTTGAGTTATTATTATTTTTCCAATCACTTAGGCATTCGAATGTTTTGTTTTTCTGATGTTTAATAGTTAAAAATGTCTGAAAGACCAATCGCAAATGAAGAAATAGGTGACTACTTCGAACTATCAGATGAGGAAGAGAATGTTGAAGTTAACGAATTTTACTTAGAGGAACGATACGTCGCGGCGTATCGTTTTCATGTATAGTCTACATTCATTCGTACCAGCGCGCCGGTACGAATGAATTGTAAGAACGCCGATTGGGGGGGGGAGAGATTTTTATTCTCTACCGTCGGGATGGTCTAGGGTTTAAGCGTATGTGGGTGGCGGTTTTGAGAGGCAGCAAAACTCCAAGATGTTTTCGATCCTAATGATTGGATGACTGATGTTTTTCTTTCCGTGAAGCTGGAGAGGAGCCCCGGGGCGATGGCATGTTAAAGTTTGGAGTCGAACAGTCACAAGATAGCGGCGAACGGAAGCACCAAGAAAAGAGGACGATGAACACTACAGGTGTACTCGACAGGGGAGTTTAGTGGAAGTCCTAGTGGAAGCCCCGTTGTCCTTGGAATCGGTGTTTTTATAAGTTTCTCGAGATCGACTTGTTGCTAATTGGACAGACTTTACACCATCGCTTTATAATTGGTCTTCCACCCGTCTCCAGGTGTACAGTACATGAAGCTTCGTAAAGTTCGCGGGAAAGGTCGGCTGGAGATGGTTTATCCGACACCATCTTTTAGACTCTGATCGCGTTTAATTGTTGACTATGACTCCTACGCTCATTTTGATATTTTTTTAGTTTCGTTTTGCTTTCTAAACTGTGTCTTAATTTTAATACAGTAGAGCATCGATTATCCGACCCCCGATTAACCGCCACATCGGTTCACCGACCGTTCTAGTCGGAAAATTTCAAATGTCCGCTAGTGATGTGGCGCTACAATATTTGGCTATGTCTTGGATACTTTAATATTATTTTTGTTAAATTTTTGCGTGTTTTAGCTGGCAACACGGCTCGACCATTGAAGGGATGCCAGTATTTATACGAGACTTAATTTTCTAATTATGAATGGTTGTTTGTTTTGTGAGCAATAAAATAATTCGAAAATAATTTTTAACGATACAATAGCAACGATTATTATTAAAAAAAAAAATTTGTTAGGCTTAACATCGATGAAAATTCAACGCGAAGTTGGTTAATAGCGATATACTAATATACTAATTACATGGGATATACTAATATACTATAGTAATAATGTATTTTTTTCATTTTTTCGGTTATCCGATTTTTTCAGTTGTCCGACCAACCTGAGTCCATAATTGAGTCGGATAATCGATGCTCTACTGTATTTTAAATTTTCTTTTTATATCTAAAATTTTGTTTTTCTTCTACTCTTTATGAGCGTCGACGTCAAAATCCGGTGTCGCCGTTTCGACACTTATATAATTTGTTTTCTTGACGATTTAACTTAAAATTTTTAATATCTTTCTTTTTGGGGGGGCTATTTCCGGGGCCTCACAGAATGTAGTCAGTATTAGATCAAAATTCTGTAGATTTGGAGAGTTTTTTAAGCAAGCTAAAAATAAGCGGATATTTCTAATACTGTACTTCTTGGGTGTAACCTTGAGTAAGTATGGCAATCGGTCAAAAAATGACTATTGGATTTTTACATTTTTGGAGTCGGGGACCTTGAAACGTCCGGGAATGAACAAAACAAATGATTTTCCCCGTGTGTATGAATGTTGGGGTGTGTGCAGGGCCACTTGTACATTGGGGCACGTGCCTTGTCGTCGGGTTGCTATTTTATTAATCCACAAGGGAATCATAAAGTTTCTTTTTATTTCTAAATTAGATACTCATTTATATCACAGAACTTTTTACTGACGACAAAATTAAAAGAAAACTATTTGTTCTAGAGGGTCGTGATTATTCGGTCGAGTACTGATGTACTGTACCGCTGTATTTGATTAACGCGGTAGCATCGAGGCACTCGATGCTACCGCGTTAATCAAATACAGCGGTACAGTACATCAACTATTAACCAACTTCGATGCCAACTACTCGATGCCAACGCTATTACAGCGTACAATACAGTAATAGCCAACGCTATTACAGTGTAAATGCGGTAGCATCGAGGCACTCGATGCTACCGCGTTAATCAAATACAGCGGTAATTAACGCAGTATATAAATACATATATACTCACTGTTTTTTTATGTACTGTATTGGCGCGAATATTACGCGATGTTTTTACGATGTCCATTTTGTAGTTTGTGCCCTATTTTTAAAGTCTACGGGTGCCGCTGTGTGGGGCATGATTTTGTTTATCATTTTGAACACCAGCAACCAGTTGTGTAACTCTTTGAAGAGTTAAACAACTGGTTGCTGGCTTTTTTATTTGGAATTTAAAGTTTTATCAGTTTGTTGTAGAAAGCATTGAAAGACTAGTGCTTACCTTAAATTATACATATATTTGTTCATTTTATTCATTCTTATATATTAAATTTCTATGCTGTAATATTTTTTATTTTACTGGAATTGAAATGAATATCTTTTAAATTTTATTTAAGACATTTTATCTTTATTCTTTACGTTTCAGCTACTACTCGTATTAAAGTGTTTTCATGTATTATTACGCGTAATTAGAAAACAATTGAATTGAAATAATGCTTCAGAAATTAAAGTAACAATGAATTCCATTTGTTAGAATTCTTTTATTGTGAAATATTCATCTTCAGTCTTCATATTCACTGCCACAATTTCTTATTACGTGTGTCTTGCTTTAAAAATTTAAAGTTTGAGATACGTCATGCCTTCGTAATTAATCAAAAGATAAGTATAAATCCAATTTTTGATAATTGCAAGAGTTATTGTTAATTTCAAATCTTTTCATTTTCAGGTTTCAAGTAGTCCAAAAGGGAAGTATGTGTCCATAATTAGCATATTGCTGACTGATTACTTATGATTTTACTTTTACTTTAGGTATGGACTTGCTTTAAAATACTCAAATGAAACTCTTCCTTCTATTATTATCGCTCCGAGAAACGATTATTTATACCTCTTCTATTGCTGTTAAAAAATTTACTAGAATTGGATTTGAAGAGGCTGCCGAAAAATAGCAATGCTCGACGAAAAAAAATTTATTTAATTAAAATAATTATTCTCATCTCTTCCGAATTCAAAAAGTGCAGAATCATCGCTTGTAATATGTATTACATACAATATATAAATATAACATATAAACATTGTTTCGAAAAGAAACCCGCCTTAGGAGATTGTGAGGAGAAGTTTGTGGGCAAACTATCAGAAGCAAGTGTATAATGTGTTGCTCGTATGATGCATCATTCGAATCTGCAATAATTGTTTTAAACAAACTTTCCAATACATTAGCAATTTGTTTTGTTTGGAAATGTGCGATCCCAGTTTTTCCCGTGATGTCGATTCTGCCTAGTCATTACGGGGTTTCTGGACAAACAAAAAACCCACGGAGAAGGGTGAGACCTTGATGATGGTTCCGTGGCTTCAAATAGAATTTATTTTCTGTCACTAACTTCACCCGGCAGAAAAAAATCAGAAATATATCTTTTTCACATTTATTCTTAGGGCCTACCAGTGGTCGAGTGGCTAAAACAACTAAACGCTGGTATTTGGTCATGGATTTGAGCCTGATCAACAGGCTGGCCACGTGGAGTTTCCGGGTTTTCTTAACGTTAGTAAAACCTAAATAGGGGAAAATTTCCCATAAAAGACCTCCCGAAAAGCATTTCTCCTCTGGCGTTGCTGTATACGAATAAAACCAAATCATTCATTCTTATTATAGGATTTTTTTTTTTACTCAAGAATATTGATTTTTAAAAAAATTGTCAAGCCGAACGTTTAGTAAAAACAAATACTCAACTTATTTAGAGTATTCTATCAGGCATAATACTGTGTATCTGACTTACAGAGAAGTCTGTTTTTTTACTTCTTTTCGGTTTTTTGTGCTCACAGTGGATCTATTCTTGCACCGGATGAAAACGAGTAAGATCGGCTATATAACTATAAAGGTTATTCTTACATAAGAGTTTATCACTACGAGTGCCCAATCTAACACATTTTAAGAATTCTTTATTCCTCTACACAATTCAAAGAATTTTTAAAATGTGTTAGATTGGGCATTCTTTGATACTCTCTTACATAAGATATCCTTTGTAAATATAAATCAAATATAATACAATATAGAAAGGTTAGAAGTACGAAATAATGTAATAATCTTAATCTTTACTGTTGTTATTTTTCACCCGAGCAACTCCGGGCTCATCTGCTAGTAGTTGATACGTTTGTATAGAACTTTACGTTTTAGGACTTTTTCCTCCGTGATTTACTAAGAGGGCATTTCTTCAGTGGCACTTTATAGCTTCATGGGTTCCAGGCGTGTTTGAATTAGAGACCTTCAGATATTTTTCTTTAGAAAATCTTTCCTTTTCGCATTACAAAACGAGTGCAGAAAATCGAGTTGAGCATTTGATAGTCGCTAATATAATTATTGTTAATATAAGCAAACATACATATATATACTTATAATCGAGTATAATGTTTGCTCATTTTTATATGAAAGTTGAGGTTGATATATTTTGATGACTCACTTGGATCTACCCATATACTGTGTGCAAATTACATAATGAACCAATTAATTGGCATTAATAAAGTTTTATAAATAAAATTAATTCTTATTAATTCTGACTCGTAAACAGATCAATACTTGTTTCTTTACATGTGTGTCTGTACACAAGAAGACTAACTTACAAAAATTAGTTTTGACTGTTTAGTTGAAAAATATTCAAGGACGAGCACAATCAATATGTTAATAATAATAAGTATTGTATATCAATGTCATCTTGTGAGAAATATAACAGTTGCAAGGCGTTTGCAGCAATAATCGATACAAATCTTACATAAATTAATTTTTTCTAGAGATGTTAAGCTTGTCTATAATCAAATATGAAGAATTTTTAGTCAGTTTTTTGAAAATTAATTCAGTTATAGCTTACAAAAAACATGCGAAAGTGTTTTCTGTTATATTTCAGATTTTTATATGCATTATTTAATCAAAATCTAAAAATCAATTTCTAGGAACGTTTTAATATCTTTGATGGCAATTTCATAGAAATAGTTGAGGTAATTTATATGTAGTGCATATATATNCGGGTGAACTAGTAACTTTTTGTCCGAGGAATTCCTGCGAAACCTGTTGACTTTTTTTTTTCTTTTTTTCTTGAACGATTCATTCGCGTTCATATTTTACCAAGTGACCTCTATCCAGTGAAAGTCCTGGTGGAAGTGAAGGAAAGAAAGGAAATTCTGGTTCTAAGTTCTAAATAAATTGTTTTTTATATGTATCAATATTGTATGTTATTATACATGTTATTATTTTCTAGCAATGAGAAAAAATTCTTGTAAAAATGTTTTATTCGAATACCATTCAGTGTCTAGGGAGAATTCAAGTATTACATCAGTAGTTTTTGGAAGAGAGGAACTCGTTGTATTTGACGATTGTTTAGGATGGAGGGAGGGCAAGTCTTTGATGTCATAAGATTGCACCTGTCGTTATTTTTCTTCTCGGTCATCACATTATAATAGTATAATAACATTTCTTTTAAATTATGTATTATGCACCAAGTGTCCCTCATTCCAATAAGAATTTTTATCTTCTAATTGCAAAATGAAAATAATCTGGCAACAATTCAGCATCGTTATCAGATATATAGTAAAAAAGTATAACTATAGAATGGCTATTCTGTGTTGAGGTGCTTAGTGTCTCTGATGCAATTTGTCCGTCATGTTACCGGAGGTTTTGGCATATTGCGCTTCAAAAGGTGACGAGTTGTGTGGCTTTCTCCTGCAATAATTAATTAATTAATTGCTGCAGCTACACATTTCACAGGTAAATGAATGTTTTTATATGTTATTCAATCTTTTTCTGGGAAAAATAAAGAGTTTTAGTAGGAATAAAATATCATTTCATTATCATCAATTTATATTATTTCTGAAGTGGTTTTTCGTTCGTTTCTAGACTAGACATGAAATCAATTGATATCAATTGATGAAATTACTTTTTATAAAAATTATTAAAATTAATTAAAAAATTAATCAATGTTATCATTGATATCTGTTACTACACGATATCAAATAATCTCAAATTTATATCAAGTTTCACATGATATGAATCAAGTGAGAATCACGTGATGTCAACTGTGTTCTGACTTTTTAAAACTTTGAAAAACATTTTAAAACCATTTCAAATCATTTCCGCTAGTTAATGGTTCTCTTGAAATAAATAAATGATGGCAGATGACTTGTCATATGTTTGTTTAATAATTCAGAAATTCTTGAAGAAAAAAAAATTCAAAAACTGTTTCAAGCATACTTCCTGATATCCATTCGCACATTTCTAGTTACACTGTTTAGATTACTGGTGGATCTTGGCTTCCAGAGATAAATTACAGTAATTAAGATCGAGTAGTTATTTGTGATATCGTCACATGTCGGGCTGCAATGTTTAATCATATTTTTTAATTTAAAATATATGCTAAAATTAATAGTGTCTTGTCCCTGTAATAACGCTTTTCCTGTTAGTAGGTCCCTGCATATCATACTTTTCCTGTTAGCAACGGAGTTATGCCGTCATCTATCTAACTCCTTACAGGGAAAAATTTTGGAATTAAAATAACGTGACTTCCAGTTTGCATCGGAACTTCATATACAGTTAATCGGAGCTTCCTGCCCTAAGCTTTCCATATCTGTCTAGCGTGTCATCTATCTAATTCCGTTCTCGAGATTAATAAAGACAGACAGATAAACAGAGGGACGACAGTGGAAATTTGTTTACAATTTTTTCAAATTGCAGCCTAATTATAATCACATATGTTGATATGCTGCGGAGAGTCTGAGGGTGAGCGTTACCATATAGCATAACAATATTAAGTCATATACAGTATATGGTTATAGTTATAAATTCAAATTCCTCCGGAAATCGAAATCTACCAGAAGTTCCCTCATTAGATATTGTTCCAATTTCAAAAATGTACAGATGAAGTTTTAAAATTGAAACACACGACGATCACAATAAGCGGTTTCACATGACTATCCTGTGAGCCAGACATATTTTAAGTTAGATAAATTCGTTCCAAAAGCTAGTCTCTGGCGGTCCACAGATTACAATAGATAGTCAACTCGTTGATATTCATGCAACTTAAGACATATAGCACCTCCGCCGGAGGGTTCCGGAACTATCAAACTTATCATTATTCTAATCTGTATTGCGGCCAATGGTAGATTAAACTGTGAATGAACTGAAGCCCTACTTCTTATTTGCTACAAACATAGTTTGTCACATTTTCACTTAATTTTCTAAAAGTAAATTGACTTTGTGGCGATTTTAAGAATTTTTTCGACCAAGTACTAAGAGAAGAAGCCCGTTATAATTTCTGAAATTACAATTATCGTAAAGAATTGTCTTCCGAAACTTCCAAGGTTTTCATAAGATATAAAAGTAATGGAACAAAGAGAAAACCTTATGCAATAAAAAATTAAATATAGATATATAATGAACGAAAATTAACCCCTTAACGATTACCTGTTGTAATTATGATGTAATTAAGCATAAAAAATACTTAAAACTGAAAATAAATGAAAGAAATGCGTTTATTTTGAAGAAAAAGCTTCGAAGTTTCAGTTCCTTTGTCTCGCCTTTCTGCGAACTTTAACACCGATGAGTCATTGTTTACACAGCTGGATGACCTTGAGAACAGCTGGAGTCGCATTTCCCGGGGCATTCTCATAGACGTCTCGGGAGGACAACAGTTTAAACTAGAGTGAATACGAACTAGGCCTATATTTTAAAATATTTTTAAAAAATTAAGATTTTAATTGCGATTTCCGACCCCCCCTAATTAATTAAATTTATATATAATAAAATCGATTAATTAAAAAAGTTAAAAAACTATCGGAGGTCTTTTTTGACATCAGAAACTAGCTTTAAATAACTTTACCGAAGGAAAATCCGTGCACTACAACTTAGGAACCATGAAATAAATTTGATAAAAACTCCCATTAAAAAACAATTAAGCCTTAATCGAGCCTTATCAAAGGCTCATTAAAATCGCGATAAAATTTTTTCGCGCGGACAAAAAATTTCGAAAAAATTTGGGGACCTAAAAAACATTCCAAAAATTGAAAAAAAAA